GTATTCCATTTTTTGTTCTTTTCTTTCCTTCATGTTTTCTTTGAATCCGTCATTCTTACATTAAGGCTTTTATTTCATATTTTGTCTTTGAGAATATAGTTAGTGTAGTGTTGTGTACTGTATGACAGTAGTGTTGTGTCAAAATGATACATGATGTGGAGGTGGTCATGTTCAAAGGTGATAAATTAAATCGGGAAATTAATTGTGCCTGTGTGGCTTCGCCATTGTTATTGTGATGCTTGTTAACAAGTCTGTCATTCTATGTGATGGACGACATACCAGGCCTTCACATGGCAAAGTGTTATATCATTATGTAGAAATATTGTCATATCATCATCATGTGAAATAAGAAATCCTCACATCTGTATTCTAATTTCAATTTGCAACTTGTTAGTAAAATGTTTAGCCACAGAGAATGCCTGATATACATAAAGCATACTAGTAAATTACCAAGTAAAACAGACCAATTATGTTAGTAATACACATTAACACTAAATATAACTTGTCTTTTTATTCTTTGTTAGGAAAACAGTATGATGCTGTATGAATGGGAAATTTATAGACCTTTGTAAAGTGCAACTTTATTATCCTTTGTTTGGAAAACACTGATGAGTTTGAAAGAAAAAAACATTTATCTTGAAATATAAACAGAGCAGCTTTATAATTGCTTGTTAGGAAAACAGTGTGATGATGTATGGATGCAAAAAAAACATAAATATTTTAACAAAAACACTGTCTCTTTATAATTCTTTGTTAGGAAAACAGTGTGAGGATAAATAGAGGAACTATGAATGTGGCAGCTATTGTCCAGCAAGGTGACATTGAGTGACAGTCCTCGTGAATTTACTGTTGAGACACCTGTTGCTTCCCAACCTACATGACAGTGGCTCGGCGGTCTATGTACTGTTGGAATTAGACTTATCACAGGGTAGAGGCTTTGTTTGTGAGACAGTGTAGGAAAGGCTCATGGTGGAAGATTTTCAGATAGCTGAAGTGATCTATGTACTGTTAGAGATAGACTTATCACAGGTTAGAGATTTTGTTTCTAAGACAGCGTAGAAGAGGTTAATGGTGGGAGATTGCCAGATAGCTGAAGTGATCTGCGATAATGTTGTTGAGTTATTGTGATAGGGAAAATGTTAGGTGCAGTGAGTGAGGGCTCGGTGACCCAGTCACCAACTGTCACAGAGATGCAGAAATGTCGCTGATGATTCAATGCCCCGTGCAACGGTAAAAGAATAATACCATGAGTTGTGACGGGAAGATGTGGTATGGCTGTGGGCAGGTCCTCCAGGACACTTCATGTGAGGGGCTAGCGTAGGAGGGACGGATATATTCGGTATGAATCATAAGTCAACAGAAATATTGTTTTGCTGATGATTTTGATACGCAATGCAAATGAATATGACAGATTGGAAGAGACAGATATTCGGTATGAATCATAGGTCAACAGAAATATTGTTTTGCTGGTGATTTTGATACGCAATGCAAATGAACATGACAGATTGGAAGAGACAGATATTCAGTATGAATCATAGGTCAACAGAAATATTGTTTTGCTGATGATTTTGATACGCGAGCTCATGCAAATGAAGCCCAATATTAGACAGATTGGAAGAGGCAGAGTGTCTGTAAAATGACCATCAGTAGTGTCAAAACAGACATATACTTAGTGTCTGACATATGATAATACATTAGTGTCTGATATACCCAATCATACTTATGTCTGAAAACAAGACTTATACTCAAGTGTCTGAGAAGCTAAGACTAATACTTAGTGTCTGAAAATTTAATCAGTGTCTGAAAACCCAAGACTTATACTAAGTGTCTGAGAGGCTAAGACTAATACTTAGTGTCTGAAAGCCCAAGACTTATGCTAAGTGTCTGAAAACCCAAGACTTATACTTAGTGTCTGAAAACCCAAGACTTATGCTAAGTGTCTGTAAGCCCAAGACTTATACTTAGTGTCTGAAAGCCCAAGACTTATACTTAGTGTCTGAAAGCCGAAGACTTATACTTAGTGTTTGAAAACCCAAGACCAATACTTAGTGTCTGAAAACCCAAGACTTATACTTAGTGTCTGAAAACCCAAGACTTATACTAAGTGTCTGAGAGGCTAAGACTAATACTTAGTGTCTGAAAACCCAAGACTTATACTAAGTGTCTGAGAGGCTAAGACTAATACTTAGTGTCTGAAAGCCCAAGACTTATGCTAAGTGTCTGAAAACCCAAGACTTATACTTAGTGTCTGAAAACCCAAGACTTATGCTTAGTGTCTGTAAGCCCAAGACTTATACTTAGTGTCTGAAAGCCCAAGACTTATACTTAGTGTCTGAAAGCCCAAGACTTATACTTAGTGTCTGAAAAGTTAAGACTTATACTTAGTGTCTGTAAGCCCAAGACTAATACTTAGTGTCTGAAAGGTTAAGACCTATACTTAGTGTCTGAAAGCCCAAGACTTATACTTAGTGTCTGAAAGGTTAAGACTTATACTTAGTGTCTGTAAGCCCAAGACTAATACTTAGTGTCTGAAAGGCTAAGACCTATACTTAGTTTCTGTAAGCCCAAGACTTATACTTAAGACTTATACTTAGTGTCTGTAAGCCCAAGACTAATACTTAGTGTCTGAAAGGCTAAGACCTATACTTAGTTTCTGTAAGCCCAAGACTAATACTTAGTGTCTGAAAGGCTAAGACCTATACTTAGTGTCTGAAAGGCTAAGACTTATACTTAGTGTCTGAAAGGCTAAGACCTATACTTAGTGTCTGAAAGGCCAAGACTTATACTTAGTGTCTGAAAGGCCAAGACTTATACTTAGTGTCTGTAAGCCCAAGACTTATACTTAGTGTCTGAAAGCCCAAGACTTATACTTAGTGTCTGAAAGGCTAAGACCTATACTTAGTGTCTGTAAGCCCAAGACTAAAACTTAGTGTCTGAAAGGCTAAGACTTATACTTAGTGTCTGTAAGCCAAGACATATACTTAGTGTCTAACATAGTATATGATTGAAACAACCAACTCCTTTTATGTTTCAGAGATATGATGTTAGTAAGACTAACACTTAGTCTCTGAATATATATAATATTCATAGAAAGAAGTAATTTCTACAAATTGAGACGGAGTCCCAGTGAGCTCGGAGATTCAGAGTCTGAGAAAATCTGGACTTGCTTCAATAAAACTTTGGCATTACAACGCGGGTTGGGCATTATGGACTTACTGTGGTTCAAGGACTGTGACACAGGCTGCATAGGCCCTAAAAGCAGTCTAAACCATCATTCATTCCTTGCTGGGAAACCTCAGATTGTGTACACTAATGATTTCCTATTCAACACTGCTTGCACTGCGTTATTTTTAATACATGAAACCAGATTATTAACCGCACCATTGAAACAAGAAAATGGGCTTCTGTAATATATCTATAATATCGTTTAAAAGTTGCCATGGTAACAAATGTATATCCTATGATGCCACCGAAAAACTATGTCTGTTAAAAAGGAGATAGTTGAGTAATGTTTCGCTTGATGAATCTGACTGTTAACAATGTCACATCTTTCCCCGTGTTGAAACTCAATGTGATGAATTATTCAAGGCTGTACAATGGGTTAAGGGTTTTCTGAAACCTGATGCTTGTTTAATCAGTGATGTGTTGATAGTCAGAATATGAAGTGCTTTCATTGAAGACGCTGCACCGGATTATGGAATATATTTAGTGGAATTGCTCTCTGCTTTTCAGCTCCTCAGGGGAATATTATCATGCTATGTTTTATCATTCTACAAATTATATGATCGACTTTGTGGCATACAGAATTTTAGTTTCACAATGCCAGTGTTTTTACAAACTAACTGTTTCATTGTACAGATGAGGTGGTTCAGCAGCAGAAACTATGCTGTTCCTTAGACTCTCAGGGGTGGCGGGGTAGCCCAGTGGTTAAAGCGTTCACTCGTCATGCCGAAGACCCGGGTTCGATGAATCCCCACATGGGTACAATGTGTGAAGCCAAATTCTGGTGTTCCCTGCCGTGATGTTGCAGGAATATTGCTAAAAGTGGCGTAAAACCAAACTCACTCACTCACAGACTATCATCTAGTCACTGATATATATTTACCTAAAATACAGCCCTGAATTTTCTTTATAAAATAGAGCAAAAAAGGAGACTTTCTTCATTTTCAGAAACTGCTCTAATATAGACTTGCTTGGGCTGTATTAGAATTATATATAATTGTTTCAGTGTTTGATAGATTATTCAGTCTGAAGGCATGTATGACCCCACCACCCCTAGGTGCTCCTCCCATGCCAAACTGATGGAACTAATTATTCTTCAGAGTAATGTTGGCAAGCTTGTTCTAGGACTGGGGTAGCCCTGTGGTTAAAGTGTTTGCTCGTCATGCCGAAGACCTTGGTTTGATTCCTCATGAGAGTATGATGTGTGACGCCCATTTCCTGTGTCCCCTGATGTGATATTGCTGGAATATTGCTAAAAGCAGCATAAAGCCATACTCACTCACTCGTTCTAGGACTAGAATAAGGAACTGATGGCATAAAGACTGTGACAAAAACAATTGATTCTTGTGGAATTAAAACAATAAATGATACATTACTACAATATTTCCTACAAATGTGTGATTGCTTTTTATTTGCTGAGACAGATCGTCAGTCTTTCACAAACTTGTACAATTGCTGAGAAGGTTGCCGACAAAATGTCAAACAAAACCAGTGTAGCTGACAGCCATTATGTTTTTCCCTTTCCTTGTAGACTGTGGCATAGAAATATAGATCAGTGCAACTTAGAAGGCCCATTGATTTTCTCACAACACCAGGAGCACAAGTTGTATAGCAATCGTAAGCTGACATTTTGCAAACATGTTCCCTGAGACCCAGACGCCAATTTCCTTATGAACCTAACAATCATGATCGTATGTGACAGATCATATGTCACAGATCACATGTCACTGATCACATGTGATCACACAAGAAACTAAAATTATTTCGTTTCTTTTCAGGAGGTGATTCTGAAGAACAAGCAGCCGAAAATGAGGACATAAATATCTCGGTCATGAGGATGGACTCTTTTGTTTGACCACGACACCGTTCTTCAGTTGACCGGTGATCAGCTCCACATAAACATGGACACTACGATGGAGACCAGTGCAGCTTCTTCGACAGGGGAGGTGACGTACATGACCTCGCGGGGGAACATGACGACGATGGCGTCCCCATCGCATCAGTGCGATCACATAGACTCACAGTATGACGTTGCCTCGGCGATTGTTTGTGCCATGTGTTTCATATTTGGGATTCTGTATACATTTTTCGGTAAGTTTGAAAAAATGGAAAAAGAGTTTGTGAGCCAAGAATGATTATTTTTTATTGCATTGTTGGACTGTTAATTGAAATGAACACATTATGCTAACAGTGGCACCAAGAGAAATATGGAACATGCAAACAACAAAGATTGCTGCATAAACAGCATGTTACTTCAAGGAGAAATACATAGACTTGGTCTGAACATGTCCTTCTGCTGGTGCACTGAAGCTTTGTTTAATTTCACTGGCTTTCATAATATGACAAGGCTGTAGTTTTAATGTTAAATATTTAAGCAAATATGTTTTTCTTTTATATGTTCAAACAAATTGGACATTTTTGTGGGTTTTTTTTATGAACAACGATTGGATTTCACATGACAAAGTACACACATGCCCACACACACTCATCACTGAGGTAAACATGTCCACCACGCCTAGGTTCATTCACACAGTATACACCAGGTTACATACAAACAGAACCTTAAGGTACACACCCTCACCTAGTCTGTCATACAGACCCTGAAGCAAATATATCCAAGAAAGCCCATGCAAGTCTAGATTTCCTCAGCTTCAGAAAATGAAGAAAGTCTCAGGGCTCCTTTTCATTTTTTTTTTTTTTTTTTTCAGTAAAATATGTTCATTTCAGAGACTAGTTGTTAGTCTAACCCTCACCATCAGGTACACATTCTGTCACGCAAACAGGCGCAGTGGGGTAGCCTAGTGGTTAAGGCATCCGCTCATCATGCAGAAGGTCCAGGTTCGATTCCCCACATGGGTACAATGTGTGAAGCCCATTTCTGGTGTCCCCGCCGTGATAATGCTGGAATATTGCTAAAAGCGGCATAAAATTCAGCTCACTCACTCACTATTATTTTTGTATTTCTTTGTTGTGTAGATAAGTTACCTCACTCCCTCACTCATGATCACTCACTCATTCACTCACTCATGATCACTCACATACACTCATCACTCACTCACTCATGATCACTCACACACACACTCATGATCACTCACTCATGATCACTCACTCACTCATGATCACTCACTCACTCATGATCACTCACTCACTCACTCACTCACTCATGATCACTCACTCATGATCACTCTCATGATCACTCACTCACTCACTCACTCACACACTCATGATCACTCACTCACTCACTCATGATCACTCACATACTCACTCATGATCACTCACTCATGATCACTCACTCATGATCACTCACTCATGATCACTCACACACACTCATGATCACACACTCATGATCACTCACTCATGATCACTCACACACACACACTCATGATCACTCACTCATGATCACTCTCATGATCACTCACTCACTCATGATCACTCACTCACTCATGATCACTCACTCACTCCAGTGATTCGCACAAAATGTACTTATCAATCCCATTTCATGATTGTTATTCAAAGGAAGCAGCCTATTTATGTGTGACTAGGTAGTAAACTTTTGTGTTGAACTGATCAACCCACGCCTGTCTGTGATCTATGAGATTCTTGATTCAGGAGCGCCACAATCCATCAACCTTATTACGTGTCTGTTTGGGCAATTATTCTTATGAATAAGATTGTCATAAAAGAGTAAATCAAATCTTAGTGTTCTTGTTAAGACAGGACACTTTCAGAACCAAGTGACTTGGTATTTGTGAAGATTCCATAAGTTCATTATTTCTGTGCTGGAATGGAGTGCTTGGCAACACTCATGATCTCTCACTCACTCACTCACTCACTCATGATCACTCACTCACTCATGATCACTCACTCACTTGGCAACACTCATGATCACTCACTCACTCACTCACTCACGATCACTCATGATCACTCACTCACTCAAGCGTGTTCACACACATGCACACCACACCATAAAGGTGCACATGCATACAACATCAAGGGGCCCGTACACACATACCAAGCACACACAAGGTACACAGTCAACATGAACGACCTCAATAACAATATTGCATCTATATGTTGTGAATATTGAAATTATCCCATCTGAAACAATTTCTGCTTCCCCCTCAGGGTACCGGTTCTTCAAGGCAGTGATGTTCCTGACGGGGTTCATTTTTGGCGGAGTCCTCATCTACATGATCTGCAAGGAAGAGGAGATTATGCCCACAGAAGGAAATATTGGCGTGGCCATTGGCGCCGGGATACTCTGTGGCCTCATCACGATGCTTGTGCAATACGTGGGACTATTTCTCACAGGATTCCATCTAGGAATAGCCCTTGCAATTGCTGTTTTGATAATCCTGGAACAATTTCTGCATCCTTCGACCAAGTGGATACCCATTGGATTACTTGTTGGTCTTGGGTTGCTGTTTGCCTTTCTCATTCTGAAATTCCAAAAGTGTTTCACAATTTTGGGGACAAGTATTTTTGGAGGTGCTTTAATGGTAGCATTTTTAGACTACTTTATTGAGAAGTTTCGCATGGTGCTGTACATGTGGGACCGAGTGAAAGGCAACGAGTCGCCGCCTGTGTGCTGGTACAGTTGGGTGATACTTGGCTGCTGGCCATTTTGTTTCCTTGTTGGAGCTATTACACAATGGAGGATTACAGGACAGGGAGTGGACCATCGAGAAGGTAACTTCTTCCACGCAGACAAATAAACAAATATGCAGTAGATAATGCATCACCCTTTTCATTCGTCCTCCTGTCTCGTTCTGACCACAACTCCTCTCATCAGCAGTCTGAGTCAAATAGAGGCAGGGTCAAGTAGAGGCTGGGTCAAATAAAGGCTGGGTAGAATAGAGGCTGGGTCAAATAGAGGCTGGGTCAAATAGAGGCTGGGTAGAATAAAGGCTGGGTAGAATAGAGGCTGGGTAGAATAGAGGCTTGGTCACTGATGTGGAGATCGGAAAGAAAGTCACAGGAAAAAAGTCACAATGACCAATTATACTAAATTCAATAAATAATGTTAATATCATCATGATAATAAAGCATACAATTAAATAATAATTTTAACAAAGCATAATCAAAGTATTATACTAAGTGATTGATTTAATTAAGAAACAGTTAAATAACACTTTTTGCCAATTTTACAACCTACTAATATATATTGTAAACCAAAAGTCACTGTGTTCTTTAATCTGATTGGTTGAAAAACGTGATCAAATGGTATTCGATTCCCGGAATTTGCTGCGTATTAATACATACAAACATCGCTCACACCATTGTATTGTTACGTCGTCAGCTGAGATGACGTCATTCAAATCATATTGTGACGTAAAGTCCGAATGACTTCACAAATGAGCAGTTCCAGATTCTACCATAATTCTACCCGGTTGATGACATTTCACTGCTGTACCCGTACACGATGTCAATGAGTGCAGACACACTGACGCCGGAGGTTTCAAATGGAATATTCCCGTGCTTCAAATACTCAATAACACCCGGAAATTGGCCAACACATGATGTTTATCTCCTAATTATTGTATTGTGACTTGTTTCCCGTGACTTTTTATACATGACTTATTTTCCTTTGACTTTCTTTCCTCCTTTCAATGTAATGTCTTGTAAACAAGCAAATGAACTGATCCTGTTCAGTAAACATATAATAAACATACCTTTGCTGCAGGTATCCAAACTGTGGTTGGGACTCGGATAAATGTCATGTGGTGTAAACAAATAGCTGAATGCTCCCATGTAGAAAAAATAATGTACTAGTGTTGGGAATTGGTTGAAATCTCATAATTGATGATTTCCTCATTACCAACGAACAATCATCGATAAAAATTGGTTAGCGTCAATTTTCAGATTTTCCTATCCAGGTTGTTATTGCAGATATGTATAACATGATGCAACTTGCTACTTTAAAGTGATGTTGATATATCATGAACATAAACCTTCTGGGGTCTTCAAGAAATATTCAGTCATGACTTTTCAGTTAGTGAAGTGAGTTTTCTAAGAATTAAACAAATTTTCAGGCCCTGACAGCTTCGAAGATATGTTCCATCGTCAAGTGTTTCAAAGACTAAAACAGCAGTTCCAAAATTGTTTGTGTTCGATTATGAGAAAATGTGATCGATTTCTTGGTCGTTTGGTCACTTCGACCAATCTTTCAATATTTCAATTAATCGGAACACCACTATAATGAATGAACTGAGACCCAAACTGGTTTTGGTACCAAAAGAGCCAGTGCCAATGTATGCCAGATCCTGATGTCCAAAAGTAAATATTTTGGTTTCATACATTAGTGGAAATAAGGTTTTTCACTTACTTGCTACAAAATGTCTATCACACAAGCATGTTGGCCTGTGTGACTCCTGTCGTGTTTTTTCACTACGAATGGATGGTTAGATTTGGTGAAAGCGACCTTAATGAATAAACGTTTTTTGATAAGTCAGTCAGACTCGGTGTCTTCGATGCTTGGTAAAACTTTGTTCGTGATATCACTCACTGGTTTGTGGGACGGTGGGATAGCCTAGTGGTTAAAGTGTTCGCTCATCACGCTGACGGCCTGGTTCGAATCCCCACATGGGTACAATGTGTGAAGCCCATTTCTGATGTCCCCCGCCATGATATTGTTGGAATATTGCTAAAAGCGGCATAAAACCATACTCACTCACTCACTAGTGCGACTCTGGACCATGTGTGATACTTGAATTGTCCCTCCCATACAGTGCACAATGCATCATCACCTGTTGCACCTAAAAATAAGTCTATATAAGATGGTAGCCTGTCTGTTACCCTGGCTTTTTCTCAGAATTAAGGAATAAAGGTTGTCAGACTTGTAGAGGTTAATGAACACTGACATGGGGTAATGGATGTTTTCTCTCCTATGAATATGATCCCACCATGTATGTAGCATGTAATGTGTCTGTCACTATCAGTTTTTCAAGTTGTAACACAACTAGTATCCCTTTGTACTTCTCCAGTCTTCTAAGTTTGTTTGGTAGCTGAAATCGTCCAGGGTAAAAATATAGATTTTTTTTTGGTGGATACACAAACATGTCCTTGTGGGTTTATATAAAAGTGGTCAGCTGAAACAAGTACTTGTGGGTTTATCTAAAAGTGGTCAGCTGAAACATGTCCTTGTGGGTTTATATAAAAGTGGTCAGCTGAAACAAGTACTTGTGGGTTTATCTAAAAGTGGTCAGCTGAAACATGTCCTTGTGTGTTTATCTAAAAGTGGTCAGCTGAAACAAGTCCATGTGGGTTTATCTAAAAGTGGTCAGCTGAAATATGTCCGTGTGGGTATATATAAAAGTGGTCAGCTGAAACATGTCCTCGTGGGTTTATATAAAAGTGGTCAGCTGAAACAAGTCCTTGTGGGTTTATATAAAAGTGGTCAGTTCAAACATGTCCTTGTGGGTTTATATAAAAGTGGTCAGATGAAACAAGTTCTTGTGGGTTTATATAAAAGTGGTCAGTTCAAACATGTCCTTGTGGGTGTATCTAAAAGTGGTCAGCTGAAACATGTCCTTGTGGTTATGTGTAAAAGTGGTACTTGAGTGTAGCACCATCATCACCTTTGTCCCATATTATACCAACAGGGGGCGGTGGGGTAGCCTAATGGTTAAAGCGTTGGCTCATCACGCTGAAGACCCGGGTTCGAATCCCCACATGGGTACAATGTGTGAAGCCCATTTCTGGTGTCCCCCAGCCGTGATGTTCCTGGAATATTGCTAAAAGCGGCGTAAAACCAAACTCAGTCAGTCAGTCAGTCAGTCAGTATTAAACCAACAATCAGTATGCCAACAGAAACAGTGTCCAAAGCAGTAAAACAGACTTCCTCACTGTAACTGTGAAATAAAACTGGTACCACTGGCAGATTGCCAATTATTGATAGTTGAATGGAGGAATATTCAAAGATCTATCAAAGGAAAAGATTTTGCTAAAACATAAAATACCCATTTTGTTAATTATCTGCATGGTTAGCTTTTTTTAAGGAGGCAATAGAAGTACTCTATCATACCAGTGTATTTGATATCCTGTGACATTTCTGTGGAATATAATCACTGAATATGGCTTAATGCTACAGAACTATTTCCCTAAAGAATGATTCTTGCCCAAACTCAAAGTCTCAGATTTACCCTTTGTCCCTCCTTATTGATTTTTACAATAGTTCTGTGATCTTTAATGGAGATTTGGCTGGGGAAATTGGCAAGTCTGATTCAAGTCATTCGAACTCCACTTTGTCTGAAATTTATGATCTATATCAACAGTTCATGATTCCCTTTTTAGACAAATGTTTGGTCTCAGTTTTACCCTTGCTACCAAACACCTAGCCTTTCTCATAGTCCCTGAACCAATGCAATGCTGATGCCCTAAATGAAGCAAGTCTAGATTTCCCCAGGTTTCTCCCAACTCACTGGGGCTCCTTTTCATAATAAATGGGATTATTTGTTACTATCTAACAGAGACTAAGCATTGACTCAAGTCAATTCCTTTTCATATTCAGGAGCATATCAACCAAACTCCATTTCTTTCATGTGATTTACTTTCTTGGGTATGGCTACAATTGCCAGCGATATGTCATGTCACATTGCAGAATCCAATGATGGATTAGTACAGTCACAAAGTCCCTTGAAGATCCGGGTTAGAATTGGTATTCAGTTACCCATCCTTGTCGTAGCAGGATATGGAGGTCAGACTTGCTGACTTGTCACACACTTGTCACTTATGACACATGTCATTGTCCCAATTGCATAGATCATTGCTCATGCTGTTGATCACGGAATATTTACATACCGCCGCCATATAACTGGAATATTGCTGAGTGCGGGGGAAAAACGACAAACAGAACCAATGAAGGTGGTTTCAAATGAGTGTCATTCTTTGTTTGTTGGGACTAGGCCCATTCTCGTGTTTTACCAAAGTGTTGAACATGTGACATTACTTTAGACTTTTCTCTGTCACATCACAGATGCCTAAAACCAAAATGACGGAATAGCTTTGACTCACCTTGACACTCTTTGAGCAGAGATGAAATCGATGGCAAGTCCAGAACGGCCTCCATATTGCATCCATTATTACACTTTCCTGTGCCGTGAACGGTTTTGATAAGACATCTTGACTTTGATCATTGATCTTTTCATATGAAAAACATTTATTTGGAAATGACAAAAAATCATTTCATACAAGTTTTTATTTTTATTAGGATTGTGAATGAGAGACTGGTTGTCATTTAAGAATGCTTAGTGAGGTTTGGTTTGTCTTTGAACATTGAGACCTAGGTTCGATTCCCCACATGGGTACAATGTATGAAGCCCATTTCTGGTGTCCCCCACCGTGATATTGCTGGAATATTGCTAAAAGTGGCGTAAAACCATACTCACTCACTCTTTGAACATTGATGTGACAAGACAGGATTTTTCAAAGCTGTTCAAGAATAAGCAAGATGTTGTTTTTAAATCTATGAAGCAAATTCGGTTGAATGTTGGCTTATTTGTTTGCAAACAGACAAAGATGTGAGGTGTCCACTACCATGATTCTGCAGAATTATTTCTTTAAAGTTGACATAAGAAGCTTTCACTCGCTTATCCATCCAGTCGTCACACTAGTTTGTAGTGATCACTGATTCATACATTTTGTGCAGAAAAGTGTTGATATTAAGTTCAATCAAACATTTTCCAGGAAGATTAATCTGATTCACGTACACCATATTTACATTAGGTAGACCAGAGAAGGTGCAGACAGACACCAGTCTCAGCACTAGATTGACACAAATGGATTTGGAAAGTGTGCGACTGTCAGACCAGGAGAAATGCATCGCTTGTTAACATGGCCTCCTTGGAAGGATTCTTGCCAACCAAGCCACAAAAGGTCATCTTCTTTGGCAAACATTGTTGTGCAACCGTAGCAGCCAGCAATTAGTCTGGAGGGTCAGCTGATCTACAACAGGGGGAAAACTGTCAGGAAGAAAAATGAGTTTGAATTTGAATTGCCTTGGTGTGAGTGCTTGCGTCTGCTAATGTTACCAAGTCTTTTACAGATGTGTGATGAATTGTATCGGGACAAAGTTTAGGATGTAATTGACTGCGAAGATATGTTAGCTTCAGCAGTTATAGTGGTATTCATCCTTGAAACAGATTTCAGTGGCTGGAATGGAATACCAGTTTAATTATATAGTGTGTAACATGATACTTTCAATGTTTAGTTTGCTGGGAAACTGTAGATTATTAATTATATTTACACTTGGCAAAGGAAATGAACATGGATTTGTCCAACAATGATTTCAGTTACTAAATGACAGCTTGTTCTGGGAAACAGCTTAGATCTGGAACTAGTAGACTAACTTAATAGTCTCTGAATATATATAATTTTGATAGTAGCAAACAAACCCATTTAAATTTAAAAGGAGCCCCAGGGAGACGAGATATTCATTACCAGAAAAAGAGGAAATCTAGACCCAGGGAGACCAGATATTGGTTCAGGGACTGAACCAGAACCATTGAGGAAATCTAGACTTGCTTCATTTAGGGCTTTAGCACTGCAGATAAGGCTTGTATGGCAGTAGGGGTAAATATTGTATGGATAATTGGTTCAGGGACTGAGAATGTTCCACAAAGACTACAGGTCTCTGAATATATATAGTTTTGATGAGGGATTGAATCTACACTAGCACTGCTTAGGGAAAATAATGTGGTTCAGTCTACTTGGTGAATAAATATAATTTTGAATACACAATGCCATTTAGAAAGTGGTCAAATGTAACATATATTATATTTGGGATTATACTTTCTCAGTAAAGTCCAGATTGTAGTTCTTTTGTTTGGTTGAGTCCCAATCGGGATTCGAACCCACACCCTCAGAGTCAGGTGCCTAATTGCCAGCACAAGTCAGCCACCTAACCCGCTCAGCTACTGTGACTTCCACTTTCCACATGGGACTCAACCCAACAAAAGTACTACAATCTGTACTTTAACTGAGAAAGTGTAATCTCAAATATAACATGTTACAATATATTTTGGTAGAAACAAACAATTTCTTTTACCGATAAATTACAAAGGATTCAGAACCTGAGGAAATCTACACTTGCTTCATTTAGGGCTTTAGGGACTTTGATAGACTAAGGCTTAGTTTCTGAATATATATAATTTTGATAGTAACAAACAAGCCAATTTATATTGAAAAGGAGCCCTAGGGACACCAGAGATTCAGAACCTGAGGAAATCTAGACTTGCTTTATTTAGGGCTTTAGCACTGCAGAGAGGGCCTTGCAGTAAGGAAAATAATATGGTTCAGGGACTGTGAGACAGACTAGGACTTTGAGACAGACCATGGAACTAGACGTTAGTCTGCAGATGGGCATTCATCAGTTACCATCTGAATCTGTAGATCATATGAAACTAATTTCATTTAAACATTATGTGACATTTCAGAGGAATAAATTGTAGAACCATATCACAGAGTCGCATGTTAAGTTACAAGACTGATTTGGGATGATAAGTGGAATCTTACCCTTGTGTGTTTTCTGAGCTGAAATATGTCAAGACTCATTGATAAACACAGTAGGTTTGGATGTTTGATATTTTGGCTTTTCATTAACTTGTCGTGATATATTTGATCTCAGGAGACACTCAGCGAGACTGGTCAGAAATAAAGGTCAAATCAAGTGATGATATCACATTTGAGATTTTTGCCCTTACAGAAAACTTTTCTTTCAACAAACTCTAAGGGACCATAAATTTAGTTCATGAAAACCATAAAGAATAAATTATCATCATTCTTCATCAACTCAACTTCTAAAATGCCCTCCGAAGTAGTCATTATAACCATAGTTTGTTATACAACTTTGTTTATAAAACCCATGCTTTATAGTTTAGACATATATATTTGTATGTGTATTTGTGGCAGTTAGTTGCTAACCCACCAAGATAAGCTTAAGCTTGGCATGGATGCCCCACTCAGACACTGAGCGTACCAGTCCTTGTTTTATTACTGTAATGCCAAGTGCAAGACAAGGTAACAAGAAGTACCATCATTAAATGTCTTTTGGTATGAACCAGACAATCCAGTGATCAACATCATGAGCATCAATCTAAGCATTTGGGATACGAAGACAGGTGTCAACCAAGTCAGTGAGGCTGACCACCCAATCCCGTTAGTCGCCTCTTACGACAAGTATGGGTTGCTGAAGACCAATTCTAACCTGGATCTTCACGGGTCTTGCGTTACAGAAAGAGTTTAATGGAAGGGAGCATGTGGTATGACACAGCCAGGGATAGAACCACTGACCGTTCCCCTAGCAGACACTTTATCCAGTAGGCCATCTCAGTGATAAGTGCTGAATAACATGCGGTCAAACAGTCCATGAGAAGTTAATCTCAGTTTCTAACTTATCACCAAGCAACAAGCTAAAAACTATTTGGAGTGCTGTTTGACAACTGGTTAAAGACACAATTTCACACATTTTCGACAATATTTTGGCCTTTATTATATATCTTGGGGCATATGCACTCACTTTAGCTTCATATTGATGCAATAAAAGACTTATTATCCCTTACAACTTGTCTGAAATTGAAACTTCAGGGCGAACAGCTTCCAAACAGAGAACACTTGTCATGTATGGAATGTACACTGTACACCGAAAACTGTTGCATGCGGTGTTGTCGGTAACTGGTTTCAATCACAAGTTGTGTGTAGGATATTCGTAAAGAGCGCTCAAGGGACATAACTCTATGGGGTTTGCTTGAAATAACGTTGGGCCAGTAGAGGGCACAAGAGTCCTACATGTTACCTACATGTTAGCATGTCAGTCTTCAGGATTCAGACCGTAGCTATTACCTTCTCGTATTCGTTTCAGTGTACGGGTTGGTTGGTAAGCCTAGTGGTTAAAGTGTTCGCTCATCACACTGAAGATCTGGATTCAATTCCACACATGAGTACAAAGTGTGAAGCAAATGTTTGGTGTCCCTGCCATGATATTGCTGGAATATTGCAATGTAAAACTTAACTCACTCACACCCAGTATTGTATTGGTAGCTACAAATCAAACATCGAAGTGTATCCCTTCTGGAGGACCAAAATAAATATTGCTGACATGGGTGTACCTGATGACCTCCGGGTGACCTATGTTATTCACCAGTTGGTAGTTATCACAAGCAGATGGACATGGCAACAGTGTGCCAGTGACTCATGTACACAGCTGGAGCTTGTACAGCAGGAACTGCTAATGTTGTCATAAATATTTATGGAACAGTTTTATTTGATATTTGGTGCATGGAAGGAAATATGGTTATTATTTCAGGAACATATACAGTTTATGTACCTGGGGTTAAAAAAGGCATTATTGAACGAATGTTTATTGGCAATATGCCAAAATGCTGACAGTTGTTCTTGGTTCTTGAAGCGAGTCTGTGCTATTCTGGTCACTGGTAGATGTGGGCGTCTTTAGGAATAATTCTTTTTAACAATCATGACCACAATGATTTTAAAAAGGAAATTGATTATAGACATTTTATGGTTGAATACTTGTTTCGTGTATTTGCTAAGTAAGATAACAAGATCAAATGCATTTCAAAGTAGCTCTTCACTCTTCACTCAGTTGATGTGTCACATGGGTTTCCCCTGTCTAAGCCTCCCTATCCTGGCATCATCCTATGGTAATGAGGGGTGGTGGGGTAGCCTAGTGGTTAAAGCGTTTGCTCGTCACGCTGAAGACCCGGGTTACTTTCTACATGGGTACAATGTGTGAAGCCGATTTCTTGTGTCCCTCGTCATGATATTGCTGGAATATTGCTAAAGGAGGCGTATTGCCCACTCACTCACTCCTCAACCCTAAACTCACTCATTCACTAATATCAAATACCACTTGGCTGAGATTATCTTGGTTATGATATTATGTATTACAATGATCTACAATTTATGTATTTATGTTTTTCAGCACTACACATCAACAGGTCGAAGAAGGTGAACCTGAAACGTATTCGGGCTCGAGAGCGTCGAGATGAGCAACATTCCCGTTATCGGCATCTGTACCAGGTGCGGCGTGTCAACGGGGATGTCATCTCCCAGGTGAACAACCAAGTTCGTCACTTTCATTTCTACGCATGACTGGACACATTAACCCTTGTAGAAGCTAAACACATTAACCCTTGTAGAAACAGTCCAACTCATCCTTTTTGTTTCCACATCCCATTTTTCGTCATCACTGCACAAAGACTGTCATCACTGTGAGTGTTACAAAAGTACAGTCTGCAACTGGGCCAAAGTTGGCATCTTTTAAGTTTTGGTAGCCTTTTGGTTAAAGCATTCGCTCGTCATGCTGAAGGTGAGGTGAGGGGAAGTTGGGTTTAACGCCGTGCTTGAGAATATTTCGCTCATATGACGACGTGCATGCGTGTGTATGTGTATGTGTGGCTGCTTGTAGTAGCCCAGACTTAAGCTGGTTTTATAGTGCTAGCCCACTGAGATACCATACCACAGTGAAGCATGAATACCCCACTCAGACACATTATACTGACTCCAAGCCGACCAGTCCTTGTTGTACCCATTAATGCCGAGCGCCAGGCAGGGACCAACAAGTACCATATTTTAACGTCTTTTGGTATGCCGCGGTCGGGGATCAAACCTTTGACCTTCCGCTCTCCGGGCGGACGCTCTAACCACTACACCACGGAGGCGGTCTCTTCATGCTGAAGACCTGGGTTCAATTTCAAATTGGGTACAATGTGTGAAGCCCATTTCAGGTGTCCCCTGCCATGATATTGCGGGAATATTGCTAACAGTGACATATTGCCCACTCACTCACTCCTCTACCTCCTCCCCATCTTATAATGGAAACTGAAGATCTTATTTTTTATCCTGTGTGATGTTAACATGAGTTTGACTCCTCATCACGGTTCGTAGAGTTGTTGAGTAGTCACAGCAACATCTAATCTATGTATTATGATTTGTTGATTTGTTGTTGACGTTATTTGCTGGCATGTTTTCCCTTTGTGATAAAACTTTATTTAATGCTATCTTTCCTTATTTTCATAATAACACTTAATTAATATTTTATATTTCAATCATTGAAAAGTATTTGTCATTCTGTTTTTGTCTTGTTCAAAATGTTTTCCTTATTCTGAATATTATGATTATGTTTGATTAGTTGTGGAAGTTTTGTTAGGTAATGTACCTCTCACGACTTTATTGTAAAGCTCTATTTTCCCTTACCTTCATATTAACTTGACTAATATCGCTTAGTATTTTATATCTTCAATCATTGAAAAGTACTTTTATTTCTTTGGGTTTTATTTTTATCAAATTGTTTTTTGTCACAATCCATGGCATCATTTCATCAATCACCTCATCTCAGTCTCCAGAGATCAAGGATTGGATGTGTCTGTCATGTGATGTTTCTGTAGGAACATTTCAGTCAAATTGTATCAAATTCTTCCAAACAATTTAATTCAAACAGTTAATTCTAACAATGTTACTCTTAGTATGAACAATGGCTTATATTATAAAATGTTTTTGCCACATTTACTGTGCTATATATGAAATGGCAAGAGATAGTGCCATACTATGTGGAATGGTAAATGCCATGCTATATATAGAATGGTAAATGTCATGCTCTATATGGAATGGCAAGTGAAAAAGCCATACAAAATGGAATGGTAAGAGTGCCATGCTTTATATGGAATGGTAAGAGTGCCATGCTTTATATGGAATGGTAAGTGAATATGCCATGCTATATATGGAATGGTAAGTGAAAGTGCCATGCTATATATGGAATGGTAAGGGAAAGTGCCAGACCATATAAGGAGTAGTAAGTGAAAGCACCATGCTATATATGGGATGTTTAGAAAAAGTGCCATGCTGTATATGGAATGGTAAGGAAAATTGCCATTCTATATATGGAGTGGTATGCTTTGGGATGCAAGAGATTCTATATTTGGGATGACAAGAGATAGGACCATACTATGTAAGGAGTGGTAAGTGAAAGTGCCATGCTATATATGGAATGGTAAGTGAAAATGCCATGCTATATATGGAATGGTAAAGGATAGCGCCATGCTATATATGGAATGGTAAGTGAAAGTGCCATGCTATATATGGAATGGTAAGTGAAAGTGCCATGCTATATATGGAATGGTAAGTGAAAGTGCCATGCTATATATGGAATGGTAAGTGAAAGTGCCATGCTATATATGGAATGGTAAGGGATAGCGCCATTCTATATATGAAATGGTAAGGGATAACGCCATTCTATATATGAAATGGTAAGGGAAAGCACCATTCTACATATGGAGTGGTAAGTGTTATACTACTTAAGGAATGGTATCTGAAACTGCTGTTCTATATATTAAGGGGTGTTAATGAAACTGCATGCTGTACATGGAATGGTAGATGTAGATATCTAGGCGCTATGCCATATAAGGAATGGTGAGTGGAACTGCAATGCTGAATGTAAACGTCTCTGTTTCAGGACTACATTCAGAGTATCCAGGGAAAACTGTCCCCAGCCATGAGAAGTCTGACCGACCCGATGACAGAAGTGGAGAGTGCCAACACCACCCTCACACAAGTGCCCTGATCATATCACACCTCGACAATAGGTCATATCACCTGCATTGGACGATATCACTGATATCACCTTCATTGGCCATATGCATATCACCTTGGCTTGGGTGGGATAGTATCACTCATCACCAGCATGAGGCAATACCTCCTGGATGGAATGATATCATTCATATCACATTCATGCAAGTTCCACGTTTTGATATTTCCATATCAAGTTCGTGTTAGAACCATGTTCTGGTACCTTCAGACCAGACTGTATCTCTAGCATTACATGAACCATCAATGGATGAACATATCACATATGGTTTCATATCAGCATTGGGGGTACCACGCTCCCTCGATGTCCATAGTTGTACGAGATCAACCAGGTACCTCCCAGGGTAATACAACACATATGGACCGATGTCCTCCCATGTTTACACTGCAGGACGCCGATGAATATCATTGCACAAGACCTCCAGTCTACCAGTCATACCTGATGTATCCTATTGCTTGAGGTCTCACCATGGAATAGCCGATGTTTACCTCGGGCGGTCTGTTCAAAGGGCGGTCTGTTCAAGCTGTGCCTCAGGAATGTCCACCATGAACATTGTATCATGAGCTTTTGAACTGAGTGTCATGATACAGATGAAATTGTTGGTAGGGGAATAGTGTTTGCTGGAGTGTAGAAGCTGTTGTTGATGACTGTATGGACATTGTTGTTTTGAAAAGAAACAAGTTGTTGGACTGTGAATGGCATCTGTAGATGAGAAGGTGGAGATGTTGCCAGGAATGGAGCATCTGCGTTGAAGTTGTTGGCAGGAAAGTAGTCGCAACTGCAGGAAAAGACAATCTGGAGGTGATGGATGGAAAATAGTATGTGCTGCAGAGCAGAGTTTAAAGTAGTTGGAAGGAGAACAGTATATACCACAGAGGACATGTTGTACCAGGTAATCTGGAGGCCGTTTAATCATGCACTGTCACCAGTCACCACTGTCACCAACAGGAACTGAATCTTCATGTTGTGATCTCAGACAATTATATGCTTGCATTTTCATTTTGTCGCAATCACACTGAACAGAAATCATTCTGTTCATTCAAATCCGTTCTTGGTTACTTCACTTTTTACAACATTTGACTATCAAATGTTGGCCGATGAAAGTCAACCTAGACTGCAGGGTATGATGAGTGAACTGGATATCGTCATGACAACCATTCCGTTTTCCCCTGAACTCACCAATCACAATGACCTTGATAAAGGTCACATAATGTTTGTGCATGCTTGCACTGCCATATGTTCCGGCATTATTGTTCAAAATTTGGCGCAAATGGATAGATATAGATATCTAGGCAATGCAGTCCCTAATAACATCTAGTCGGTCATTCTTTGTGTGCACTTGTGGTTCATGGTGATCTAGAATGAATATTGCAAACAGTACTCCTTACAATGAGCTTGTTTATACAGGATTTATTACGTGTTCAACAAAGAATTGTTTTTGTTTGAAATAATGTTAGATATTCCTATCAAAGTGATATATTTCCTGCTATTAAGCAATTCCCATAGACTTTTGTTTTTTTTGTTTTCTTGATCAATAGTTTAGTTGCCAGGAGACAAAAAACAAAATAGATTAAAGAAATTGAATTAAATTATGAATTTTATTTAGCAAACTTTTCAATTCATAAGTCCTCAAATGTCCTTAGGCCACGATAGATCTACTTTATTACCCCAGTCAGTGGATCCATCTTCATTCTCAACTCCCTGGGGAGTATACAGCCCAAGCAGCCTGTAAGGCTTACGATAGTTAACAGTTAGATTACATTATTGTACGTATTTTTTGTTTGTATTGTTACAGTTTTTTTGATAGAGTTGGCCTCGAACAAACATGAAACTAGTATTAACACTACGCAATGTTTAGATTTTATAGTGAGCCTGATGTTACCTCAGCACAGGGTCAGATGTTTCCTGTTCAATTCCTTTGGCTCGTCACGTCGAAAACCACATGGGTTCAATGTGTGAAGCCCATTTCTGGTGTCCCCTGCCATGATATTGCTGTAATATTGCTAAAAGCGGCGTAAAACTAAACTCACTTTAATGAAGGGGCCCAAATCATTATGAAGCATCTCCACTGTTGTAAGAGCAATCATTACACATCATGACTCTGTTAGTGCAATAACATTAATGTTAGTCAGAAGGAAGATAGTTTCTTGTGATCAAAACCTAAGGTGTCCTTGACCTTGTACATATGGAAGATGCACACAGATAGGACTGTGTCTGCTATGCAATGAATGGATTTGAAATCACGGCTCTTGACCGTCCAGGCTGTTATGATGTCCAGAGGGCGGAAAACATTTATTAGCAACGTTTAGAAATTACTTTATATTTTTGTCAAAGTGCTTGGATACCATATGAAGATAATAAATTAATTGACTTGAAACACGAGATATTTCATTGTTGAGTATGGTGTTTAGTACGGTGGTCAGCAGAAGAGTATGAAACATTCATCAGAACGATATGCTTCCCTAATATATCTGGAGCCCATATCTGGTGCTTCCTGAAATGATATTGTTGGAATATTGCTAAAAGCAGCAAAAATCCTGACTTGATCCTGACTTCTGTGAAAAGATTGAGCTTCTCTCTCTATACATAAACTTTAACACAATCTGAAGCATGCAATATATGAGAAGCTGGTAAAGTGATTTTTGTTACTGCTTTCCTTTGACTCTTTGAGGACCGTAGGGTAGCCTAGTGGTTAAAGTATTTGCTTGTCTTGCAGAAGGTCTGGGTTTGAATCCCACATGTGTACAATTTGATCATTGCCACATATAAACTCTTATTGTTAGTTTGTGAAAGTAGCATAAATTCACTCAATGTCTGATAATTTTGTTTGGATTAAGGAATATGATTAAATATTTGGGAGATGAATGTATGCTTTGCACAGCTATTTCCTCATATCTAGTCTTGATACACCAGGGTTTTGACACCTTCGGGAGGTAGCTGAGTGGTTAAAGTGTTCCCTCGTCACGCTGGAGACCTGGGTTCGATTCCTCACATGGGTACAATGTGTGAAGCCCATTTCTGGTGTCCCCTGTCGTGATATTGCTGCAATATTGTTAAACATGGTGTAAAACCCAACTCACTCATTCAATGCTATTTTTGTGTGATTCTTTGTTGTGTAGATAAGTTATTTATCCAGCCTGGTCTCAGCTATACTTTGACATTGCTCAGGTAACTCATGACAAATATTGTATTTATTGACAAGTGATCTGACAAGAACCTCAAAGTAAGTGCTGGGGTTTGTAGGTCCTCCAGTAGATTGTTTAAGCTTAAGCATAAAAGTCAAGATGATATCGGGGCTGTGGGGTAGCCTAGTGGTTAAAGTGTTCGCTTGTCACTCCACGAAGACCCGGGTTCAATTCCCCGCATGGGTACAATGTGTGAAGCCCATTTCTGATGTCCCCCCGCTGTGATATTGAAGGAATATTGCTAAAAGCGGCATAAAACCCAACACCCTCACTCACTCAAGATGATATTGACCGTAACTTCAATGTTAAAAGTTTAAGATTTTGGTGTGGGGGTGTGGATGGGTGGGTGGGTTCTTGGTAAAATACCTTATGAAAAAACATCACAGACCACAGAAACTGAGTTAATTTGAACATCGAGAAAAGAGCTTGAACAGGAATAAGTAATATACTTTGAGGTTCTTACTATCTAGATAACATATAAGTAATCTGCATAAAAACTACCCCAACATGTTCCAATTCATGTGTAATTATTCCAAACATGGAGGTTATTTCTGTTTGGGACTGAAAACACAAGTAACAAGATCTCTCTATCAATCTTTGTGTTATAAGATTATGAAGGAACAGCATTGCCCAAGAGGCATGGAATGAGAAAAGAGCCTAAGCTTGAAAGTCAGCTGTCAAATGCACAATGCCTGTATATTATCAACACTGTCTCAATTCACAATGCATTGTATTAGACAGGCAGCAGACTCTGTTTTACACTGCAAATAAGACGTTCACCTCAAGCACCTGTTGTGGAAGTGTTTTTGTTACTTTTGTACGCTGCATAGATGTAGATGTCATTTCATTTTAATACTTATGTTATTTATGACCTGTACAAATTCATTTGCTTGTATATATGATTGTGTTTGTTTCTGTGTGAACCTGATAAGAGTTCTCCAAGGTTTTCATGTAAACTTCACTTGTGCCAGTGATGCTTGTGTTTTCTGTTTGCAGTTTTGGAAGAAGCTGTACATTTAGTTTCAAGAATAACCTCGTGGTTAAAGCATTTTGTTACATTGAAGACTTATGTTTAATTCTTGAAGTAGATACTGTGCGGGAAGGCCATTTGTTGTCCATAATTAATTAATTCCAGAAAAGCATTATTTGAAAAATAACCTGTTAAGATTTTGTCACTGAAGCTTAGCTTATATTAGTTTTTCAAGCTGAAATATTGATTGAGTACTGATAAAACAAGGGTGCCTGTTTTCTATTGTAAAAATACTGGTGCTGAAAGTTATTAGTTTTGGTCAAGTAGACTGTGTTTAACAAGGAAGACGGAATTTGACATAGATTTAAATTTGTAGATTCTTCAGAGCAATGTTTCAGCACAGATGCTAGTATGTTTGGGGCAGTGGGTTAGAGTATTGGTCAAACAGTGTAAAACTAAACTCACTCACTCACTACTATATTAGTGATTCTATGTTGTAGTGATACATTATCATCATTAAATGGTTTACTGCAAAAAGATGTAAGTCTGCACTGAAACATTGCATTAAGAATAAACATGTTTAAATCCATGTAACCTCTGTCTTCTCTATGAGCCTATGTTAAGTCATACTGCGCTTTGTATTTTATTTAACAATTACCTATGAGTACAGATACTTTGACAGACCTAATACTCAGATAAGCAAGGTGAATTGCTTTCTTGGTTTTTACTGGTCCTGAGGCACCAATTAAGTATAAAGTTACTTCTAAATTATGTATGAGATTCACCTTTTCTACAACATAAATAATCGTTAAATGTGAAGAGTGTTCCATAAAACCAGCAATGATGTCTGACGCTCAGTTTCTGTCTTGAATCTGATCTGAGAAGAAAACAAGTTGTTACGGTTACTATGGAAACAATTTTATTGCATTAATGTCCTTTGATATTTATGCTTCTGCAAAGAATTGGAATGCAAGTTATTGATGAACTTCTGTTGTGCCGTAAGGTATTTACCAGTAATGACTGAATGTATGTGTTGTAACTTACATGTTATCATAAATCATGGAAGTTAATTAAAATGAGCTTCAGGTATCTTTACGAATCCCAGCATTTAAAATAAACTGTTTTCAGCTGTAAATAAAACTTTGTTATGGCATTTGCAGGTAAATCATGTTAAATGATTTGTTACAGAAAGTCTAGATTTTTATTTTCAGAAATATTACTTTGGAATTTTGAAGGTTATATTTTTCTAATCTAATCTGAGTTTAGTCATGTTAGATGCATGAAGATGCTGTATAGTATAAGGATAGTTTGGTGAATGTTATTCACCTGTGTTATATACATACTCATGCAAGATTTCAGTAGACCTATGTCTAGGATGTTGATTGGAATGTACAGGTTCTCGTTTAACATTTGTCAGGAAGAATTCATGCTTTGGACAATACATTACAAAATGTGCTAGATCCATCCTCTATAATCCAGTGTTTTTCACGTCTTCATTGTAATGTGATACCCAAAGGCCCATTCCTCAACACCCCCTTATGACTGTACTTAGACCTACGATTGTCGTA